GACAGATCCTGCATTAAAAAGATGAGGAAATATTATAAACATCTTTATCTCCATAAACTCAAAAACACAGATGAAATGAAGAAAAAATTCCTGAAAGAAAAATGTTTACAGCAGCTTCATTCATAAGAGCCAAAAACTGGAAAGAACCCAACCAACTGTAGTTTTACCAGTGAGCCAGACACAGATAATATACTATGTTATCCCATTTACATGAAATTCTAGAAACTGAACTGTAGTTCAGAAAACAGATTGTCAGGAGTCACAAAGAAAGAGAATTGACTGCAAAGGGGCGCACAAGGAACTGCTGAGGTAATGAAAAGCTTTCTATCATGACTGTAGCACATACATAATTGCATACATTTGTCAAACTTCAGACTTTACCCTTGAAACTAGTATGTTACATTGTATGCAAACCATGCCTCAATAAAAAAGTGCTTGTTACTAATCCTACTGTTAATATTTTAAATGTATGATTTACTCAGTATTTTTTTTACTTGTCCCTTAAACAATCCCCATAAACAGGGATACCAAACTTGAAAGCAAAAGAACTTATACAAAGTCAATCAAGACTGTCCCTCTAACCTAACTTTCCTACAGGCTTTCATAAAGAATAGACGCTAATTGAGAGACCTCATGACTTTGTAGTTCCTATGCAGGCCAACTTTGCTTTTCTAACTGTAGTTGTTACTTGTAAGTCATTAAATCCTCTTAGTGGATCTGATCACTATCGGTGTTTTTTTTTTTTTTTCCAAAAATAATGAGAGAGGAGTGAAGAAAAGTGGAAAGAAATAGGAAATAAACAGAGTTCATTATGCTTAAAACATTAAATATTGGTTACAAAAACTTTGTTTTAAACTGAGACCCAGTCTGTAGTTTTCTATGGTTAGGCTAGCAAAAAAAAAAAAAAAAAAGTGCTACCTCTTACTGTGGGTCGTAGCAAAAAAAAAAAAAAAAAAAAACAAGTTTGAAAACCACTTCTATAGGACAAAATAGGCTAGCAGTATAAAAGAGATGAAGATCAGTAGGAATACTGCACTACAGACAAATGGTGTGAGGGACAAGGGAGAAAAGAGAAAGTCAAAAGAACTCCTAAGCTCCAAAAACACTCAGGGACACTTTGATGAATATCTCAGCATTGTTAAGTCCATATTCCATTTTTTCCAACTTAGTTTTTCAAACTGATCTCCTCTAGCTCTCCCTTCTCCCAACCTTGTGCCTCTGAGGAAACCTCCTTCCCAACCCAGGTATCCACAATGGATGGTGATAAACTAAACTGCACCTATACCCAGAGAATGCTCACTGCTCAACGTCTATATCACTGCCTAGAGACCCCAACACTGTGGTAATCCTTCATTCTTTTAACAAGACTGTCCTGTGAAATTCAATTCTGATATTAACTCTCAAGAAAAAAACTTTAAATGAGGCATACTTTTGCAGGCCTTTAACCAAACAACTTAAAGGGATGGGTTTTTAGCATAAATGCTTCCCGTATGTTCATATTTAATGTTTCTAACATACCATTATTCAAACCTGTGACTACAGCAGAACTGTTTTTATATGCCTTTTCTCAAGTTCTACCAAATGGCTATTCACATTAAGAAATTCTAAATGAAAAGCACACATGGAACGTATATGTTATGGGGGTGGCAGACTTTAATTAGAAAACATACTGCCAGTACCTATCAGAGCACCAGTGGCAAATGCTTCCCTGAGCTCTAACACACCATAAATAGTTTAAAGAGTCCTCAAAATATCCATCTACCCTTTCCCTTCTCACAGCTTCACATTGATCTATAGCACACATCTCCTGTAAGGCTCAGCTGCAAATGTGTCACACTACCTCTCTGTCATATATCAGAAAATGTTTGTAAAATAGACTAAAAAGGGACAGAACTGAGAGCAGAAGTTCAATACACTTCTGCCTAAATGCAACTCATCAAACCCCTATGAGGAAGGGAAAGATTAATCCTGCCTCAATACAAATAAAGGAACACGAAAATAATGGATCTGTAAAGGTCACAGAGCTATGTAGTAGAGAAGTCTATCTCTCAACAAGACTCTTCTGATTCTAAACCCAACAGTCTTTCCACACACTCTATGTCAGTTAACAGCAAGTAAGGAAGAATCTACTCTTTGGTATCTCTAGTCCAAAATGGCTATGCTTATTTTCAGACCTCTGGGACAATGGACCCAGCTGCCATTACTAGACGACCTGCTTGATCTTACTGTGGAGACAAGCTAAAGACAAGACCAGAAAAGAACAGCAAGAATGAGAAGATTACCATTAATCAGGGACAAGAAGTGGGAGGGAATGGGAGAGAGAAGGGGAATTCCATGGAAATGGAAGGAGACCCTCATGGTTATACAAAATTACATATAAGAGGATGTGAGGGGAAAGGGGAAAAAAAAACAAGAGATAGAAATGAATTACAGTAGATGGAGTAGAGAGAGAGGATGGAAGGGGGGGATAGGAAGGGGATAGGAAAGGCAGCAAAATACAGCAGACACTAGTATGGCAGTATGTATAAACGTGGATGTGTAACCAATGTGATTCTACAATCTGTACATGTGGTAAAAATGGGAGTTCATAACCCATTTGAATCAAATGTATGAAATATGACATGTCAAGAGCATTGTAATGTTTTGAACAACCAATAAAAAAAAGAATGAGGAGACAGCAGTTCAGTCATCAAGTCCACGTGAAGATGGCCAAGGAGGAATTCAGAAGAGATGGTCATTCATGCACCTAAGATGAAAGCAGGGCAAGGCAGCAGTCACCACCAGGTAGGCAGGTGGTCAGAAAGACTGGCAGGAGGTCCTCAAAAACAAACACTGAAACGTTTACTAGTGCCAGACAACATGCTGGCTGCTGGAAATATTAACAACACAATGTCCCTGCCTTCAAAGGTTTAAACTAGTGAAAAAGTCAGATAAATGATGAAGTGCTAAAAATATCCACTAGGTGCCCAAAGTGCGGACCCTACCAAGGGCAGTTGCAAGAAGGAGGGTAATGGTAAGGAATAGTAACAGGATGGAGATAGATTTAACAAAGGCTCCACTGAGAATAAACCCACTTGTTCATATAAGATAGAGCAAGATGGTTTCTAGAATGGCCTGTTGTAGACTCCACCACCATGTATAATATGACTCCATTTATGTGAAATTTTCAAAACAGGCAAATGCATGGAGATGGGAAATAGACTAGTAGTTTCCTGAAGCTAAGGGAGCTGAGGGAAAATGAGGAGTATGAGCTCATTTTAAGGAATTAAGCTTTTTTTTGAGGATGATGAAAATGTTCTACAGTTGATTGTAGTAGTGGTTAGATTACTCTTGCAAATATACTACTAAATTAAATACTAAATTAAATACGTTTAGTGGGTGAATTGAATGCTATATATATTATAGCAATAAAGCTGTGATAAATCTATCATCGTATGGTTCTGTGTTCTTATAAAAATTCATACAAAAATTGCAACTGGTTATTATTGCCCTAAGAAGTAATTTGAGACTGGGATAAGTTAGCATAGTAAGTGTACAGGACTTCGAGCTGCCTGGAACAAGACCCGAGTTAGGGCTGTACCACTTGGGAACTGGGCATTCTACCTCGGCCTCAACATCCTCAGCTATAAACTAAAGACAACATCTGCCTTTCAAGGCGAGAAATAATTATGTAGACTACATAAGTGTTCCATATAACTATTGTCTTTTTTATTTTTGAGAGAGAGGGGTGGGGAGAGAATTTTTGTATATGGACACAACACAATGCCTTTATTTTTATGTGGTGCTGAGAATCAAACCCAGGTCATGCCCGTGCTAGGCGGGCGCTCTACCACTGAGCCACAATCCCAGCCCATCGCTATTGCTTTTTAAATACTAATGCAATCACACAGCATTTTTCAGTCAACAATGGACTACATATACAGTGGTATACATCATACAGACTAAATGTGTAATAAGCTATACCACCTAGGTTGTGTAAATAACATTCTATGATGCTCACACAATGAAATTACCTAACAATACACTTCTCAGAACACATTCTTGTTGTTAAGCAAAAATAACTATGTGAACTACATGTGAACAAATGTTATACTAAATATTTTTCACAAATATCCTTTTCTTAGATACTATTTAGAGGGAAACAAACATTCTAATTTTTTAAATCATTTGTATCAAGGTCTATGTCTCATTCACCTTTACATGTGTACCTTACCCAGGTGCCAAAGACATCACTTTGGATATCAGAGGAGCTAACGTTTTGAGTGCTTAGTATGATGTAGTCACTCTACTTCATGCTTAATACATAGTGAAGCTGAATTCACACACCTGGTCAAAGGAGTGCTGTGCTTTTCCCTCTATGTCATCCTTACATAACTGTGATATTATTGCTTATTTGGGCTTTCTTCTTTTTGTTATTTCTTTACCATTAACCATGAATTACACTAGAAAATGAATTTCTCAGAAAAATTTAGCTAAATATGCTAATATTTGTATTACAAGTATCTGCAATGTTGGTTTAAGGTATTAAGTACCCATGAGAGACTATTATTAACAACATGAAGAACACACATATTAAGGATATGTCTGGATTTCATTTATAAACAAAATTTCTAAAATATATGCATATTTTAGTCTGCTTTACTTTAATTAGCAACTACATATTTCTGAAAAGCTGACACATCTCAAGTGATTTTTTTCCTACCTCTTTTGGAAGTGTGCAATTCATCCCCAAAGAATGACAGCTGATTTGAATGATTCAAAGTTGACTAACAATTTGTAATTAAACAAATTTTTTAAATTAACATATTGACTATTCCCTTTCTCAATTAAAGGCAACAACTTTATGTGTTTTGTCAGTAATCCCTCTTATTTTAGCACTATAAACAGTAAATTCCCAATGCATCAGTTTTTAGCAATTCCAAAGGAGTTAACACACATACCATGAGCATTACATGGTTAATTAAAATTCATGACAAAAGAAATGTTGAGGATAACCTTACCATATCATCCGTCAGTGTCCTAATATTTAAATGCTGCAAATGAAAAAAAAAAATCAATGAGTAATTTATAACAGCTTTTTTATTTTAGTTAATAGATGACATTTGAAATTCTACAATACTAACTTGAAGGTAATTAAGTTCCTGACAGTCTAACAAAAATGCATTATATACTGTTTTAATCTCTCTCTCAAAAAAAGATGAACAAAAGTTACTATGCACATAGTAGTTTCAAACATTTGTTAAAAATTTTGGATTTGTGAACATCGCAAATTAGCAACCTGTGGTACAATAAATATATTTTCCTAATTAATTATATTAATTACCTTTAAATATACAGACTTAAAACATGGTGGAAATAATCATTTAAATATGATTTTCAGAAAATTTCATATTATAGAACAGTAAAACTTTTAATTTACCATTAGTATGCAGCATAATAGATAATGAAGTACTTTGCTGGCTTAATTAACTTAAACAATTCTAGTAACAAAAAAGAATGTGCTGGAATGACTATTTGCATCTTTAGCATCAGTTTTGATTTATCACCATGGGTGAGAGTAGAAACTTTTCAATTTCATTGCTAGCCTTTTTGAGAACCCTTTTGCGGATTTTCTTGCTAGACAAACATAAGACCACTTTAGATAGTGAATAAATTAGTTTCCCACAAAGCACAATTCAAAATAAATATATATATATATTTAGGAAAAAAATCTGTTTTCTAAATCTGGGAGTAGGGAAAAATTTTATATTTGAATAGCTGAACTCAATTGTCCTTCCTCTTATTCATTGGAGCATCAGATTTTTCAAACAGCAGAAAAAGGGTCCAATATTTTCTAAATAGGAAAATCAGATCTATTCCTTTATAATTCTAAAAGAACAGGAGTTAACAATCATCATCTAACACAGTAAGTGGCACATAGTTATTCAAATTCAACATTTATGAAATGGAATGAAATTTGTCATTCATGTTTGTACACTGAAGTATTTCTATGTTCATGACTCTACCTCAGTAATGAGCCAGATTAAAAATCTGTACAATGTAAATTACTACAAATTCTCTTTCATCAATATGTTCCTTCTTCAAATACAAAGGGAGAAAAGTAAGGGAAAGAACCTAAAATGAACTTTATATACACCAAAGAGAATGTACCAAATTAATAACATTAGCCACACCCACTCTGATATGGGAATAAAAAAGTAATAACATGGGACTGATTTTATGTGTCTAGTGCTGGGCTACAAAATTTCTTTTTTATCAATACTATTTTCAACCTTTGAAATGAACAAATATGCACAGTGGTCTTTCAGAGTGGGCTTGATTCTTAGCAAGACTGGAGTTCTTAAGGCACTTACAGCCCATGTTACCCCAGAGACCATTATCACAATTAAACCCAAACCCACAGAACTCTCAAATTAGAAGTAAAAAACACCAACACAGAGGAAATGCCTGCTCAGGGCTCCCTTCCCTGCCTCTGCTTACATACTTACTGTATGTGCTGATAAAGGTTTCCAGCCCATTGCATTTGGTTAACTACATCTCTCTTGTTTTTCTACAATGGGAGGTTATCACCCCAATCACAATTTGTCAGTCCTAAAAGGGGTCATTTCAAGCTCCTGTGACAACAGGAAAGTACTTAAGTTCTAACAATAGTATGCCAATGGTCCTAATGCTTAAAAGGTAAAGTCAAGGAACTCAAGTTCTATTTAGAAGAGTATGCCACTGTAAAGTGAAAATATTTACACTAATGAAATATTCCCAAAGACCAATACAAATAAGTTGCTCCAGGAAAATGCCATTTGAAATTCTACAATTCTACAAAAAATGATGTTTAAAAAAAAGGTGGGAGGAGACAATAAAAAAAAATTTCAAGAGAAATAATAATAGGTCCCATGCAAGATTTATGATGCAAAAACTGCATACAAGTCACAAATATGAAAACTACATAAAATCCAGATATAAACATCCAAGAGAGACATTTTTATACATCTTCAAAGACCTCAAATTGGGGATGAACCTCTGGCTGAGCTGCCTACAATGCCACCTGGGGATCTGGAGATCTGTTGGATGGGGTAGAAGAGGGGTGCTCAGGAGCAGGCTCCCACTCCCACTCCAGGAGGCACCAAAGATGATGGCTTGGCAAATGGCTTTCTTGCTCACTGCTTGCAGTGAATAGACCCCAAGAGCCTGGTCCCTACCCCTAAGTCCCCGGGGTCCCTGCTGCCTGCTCAGGCAAGGATGGAAGCACCAATGTCGTGCTCCCCCTGCCTCCTTCCAATAGCCCTCTGGAGGTTTAGATTCAGGATTTGTTCCTAAAGTCCAAGATTTTGACAAAAAACTGACAAAGGCAGATGCTTACCTACAAATCTTGATGGAGCAACTAAGCTTTTGGATGACAAGCTTCAAAACTGTAAAGATGATGAAGAGAGAAAGAAAACTGAAACTCTCACACAACAAATAACATGGTAGAATCAATTAAACACTGCACTGTGTTGCTGTAGATTGCTAAAAGTACTATTAATCCTGTAGATGCAATATCTACCTAGTCCCTTGGAACCTGTGATCAGCAAAATGCCTTCCCAGACTGTCTTACCTCAAGAACCAGCTCAGATTTGTATGTCAGAGCAGTGGCCATCTTCTCTCCCTGTTGGACCTGTATTAGCTACCTTGGGACATCATCAGACTCCAACACTAAATAGTACAGGCAGTGGGCATTCACCACTAGCAGTCTGACTTCTCCAAGTCATGTCAACTTGTCTCCAAATACAGTCCCAGAGTTCTCTTACTCTAGCAATGTAGATAAATTCTGTGATGCTGATGAATTCCTTCAGATTGGCTCATCCCCGAAGCACTTAATAGATTCTTCTGGATCTGCCTTAATCTTGACACACAGCAGTTCAGGAAATAGTCTAAAGCGTCCAGATACAACAAAATCACTGAATTCTTCCATGTCCAATGCGACAAGTGATGCTGACCTTTTTGGTTCACAGGATGACAGAGATGAGGAGGAGGAGGCAGGGTCAGTGGAGGAATACAAGAGTGTTATCATGCACCTCTTGTCACAGGTTAAGCTCAGAATGGTTCTTACTAAGGTAGTTCTTCCAACATTTATTCTTTTTTTTATATTTTTTAGTTGTTGATGAACCTTTATTTATTTGTATGTGGTGCTGAGAATCGAACCCAGTGCCTCACACATGCTAGGCAAGCGCTCTTCCACAGAGCTAACAATCCCAGCCCCCAATATTCATTCTTGAAAAAAGATCTCTTTTAGAAATGTATGCAAACTTTTTTGCACATCCGGATCACAAAGATCATAGGGATCGAATCATTCAGACTGTGAAATGATACCTCTTCAGCCTTTCATGCATGAAGGAAAGTATCAGTACCAAAAGCCATAAATCCCATTTTGGGTGAGATCTTTCAGTGTCACTGGACATTACCAAATGACACCAAAGAGAACACAAGGCTAGTTTCAGAAAGGCCATTTCTTTAGGTTTCCAATAATAGTGTAACATTCAGGTTTCCCATCATCCACCATTTCAGTCTATTATGCTGAATGTTTTAATAAGAAAATCCAATTCGATGCTCATATCTGGACTAAATCAAAATTCCTTGGGAGGTTATCTGGGGTGCACAACAGAAGGCAAAGATGTGTCTCATGTTTAGACTACGATGAACATTACAGTCTCACATTCCCCAACAGTTATGGAAGGTCTATCCTCACAGTCCCTCGATGGAACGAGGAGGAGAATGCAATATTAATTGTACCAAAACAGTTTATAGTACAAAAATTGTCTTCCACACTAAACCTTTCTATTTCTATGGAGGCAAGAAACACAGATTTACTGCTGAGATTTTTTTCTCCAAATGACAGGAAGTATTTTTGCTCGATCAAAGGGGAATGGAATAGTATAATGTGTATAAAATATGCAACATGGGAAAATACAGAGGTTGCCTATAATCAAGAAGAAAGTGAGTAAGTTGAAAGATCAGAATGAGTATGAGTCCTGCTGCCTTTAGAAGGATGTTACTTTCATGGGCTGGGGCTGAGGCTCAGCGGTTGAGCGCTCGCCTACCATGCGTAAGGCACTGGGTTCAATCCTCAGCACCACATAAAATCAAATGAAGATATTGTGTCCACCTATAATTAAAAAATAAATATTAAAAAAGAAGGATGTGACTTTCAATTTAAAAATCAGAGACATTGATGTAGCAATTGAAGCAAAGTACAAACTTGAAGAAAGGCAAAGAGCAGAAACCCAAGGAAGGAAGGAAGAAGAAAATTTAGTGGGAGACAAGGTTATTCTATAAAGATGGAGAATGCTGGGTTTATGATGAACCACTGCTGAAACATCTTGTTGCTGTGAAGCATTAGGTTGGGAAACACAAAAGGTTACACCCGATGACCAAGGCAAATTGTCCTAATGAAGCAACAGTCTTCCTTTGGGTGAACCTATCTTCCCTTCTTATTACAGTGGTTCCTATGTCAGGGATACTGGACTTTCTGGCGCAGATAAAAAAAAAAAAATAAAGCTGGAAAAGCTTCCCTTTGTCTACAGCAGTTCAGATTTTGACTTCAGTCCTGAGAAAACTTTAGTAGGTTTTGAAACAAGATATTTGCTCCTTTTCCAAACTCCATGCTTTAAAAAGTTTCACACTCTGCACTCTAGTTCTGCTGTTATGACATAGTTCATATGATCTTTTGGGTTCTATCTAAACAAATATATACACACAAAAATATATCTGATGGCAGATTTTTCAGAAATATTCCATCTATTGTAAATACTGGTTCCTCAGAGTTGTTTTAAAAAATTAGTGCAATATATTAAAATCAAGTGTTAGGCAATTTCATGGTTTCACCTATAATAACTTTATTTTGGAAATGAACTATTATTAAATTGTATCTAAACCTGGGTTACAGTTGAATTACAGTGCTTCTTAAGGCTTCATAATTTCTCCAACTTTAAGGGGGAAAAAAGCCCTCAAATTGGATCATCTTTTAAATTAGAATTGTACTCACAATTTTCTGAACCAA